GGGAGAGTTACTTGAGGATGAGGAGGAAGAGTTGTAGACGCATGACGTCTAGTTCCATCATTGCTCGAAGAAGGGAACATACTTTCACCTTGATCAGAATCTAGAAGATCATCTTCAGTTGATTTTAATCCTTAATTATTAATTAACCCATAAATTTAAATTAAGGCTAGGATCCATATTTTTGATTCGAACTTTGAAGAGGGATGTCATAATCAAATTTGAATCTATTTTAGGTAGGTAATGCTTTTACCAGTTTCAACCTTATGAAATTCCTAGATCTTTTGAGAATCGTTGAATTTAATCAATGGTAAGTTTAATCTTGATTATGCTCTCACTTTTGTGAATGAGATGCCGAGGATCACAAACAAGATGTGAATAACCATGCAAATTAGCTTGGCACTGTCGATGTCATTTATCATCTCGTTTTAATGTGTCGGTTAACCACACGCTCTCCATTAATCAATGATAATTTTCGAGACACCCATTACAACCCTTTATCAGTCCCCCATTAGTGTGTCGGTTAACCACACACGCTCCACTAACGACTTATAAAGTGTAATGTCCTATGGATTAGCATACAAATTCACATTTTCCTAAAGTAACTAAGAGTGAGATTTTAGAAAATAGTTTAGTTACTTTATATCATTATACTTTTAATGAAATTATGTCCTATCAAATCCGTTCGGCTAACGACCATCCACCATACAAGAGAGCGGTGGGTAAGAGTGTATACCCAATGACGGTCATTTTATAGGCCGCTTGTGACATCCCCTAATTTCTCGGCCAGAAAAGACCGATTTAATTTATGCTTTTTAAAATAAAACCAGAGAAATCTTTTCAAAAGATGTTGTGGAATTGGTCCCCAAACAACATATGATAAGAGTTTATCAAAACCCTTCATTAAGAAGGTATATATTTTCCATATATATCAAAACCTCGGGATGTCATGTTCCGATACAGATCAAAAGCATAAACAAGACATTATAAGCCTTACTACAGTTATTTACAACTACTGGCCTATAATCCAAAAATCTCACGTCATCCTCCGACTATGCTCGGGGTCCACTACCTGTAATCATAAAAAAACTGAGTGGGTCAGGCTTGGGAGCCTGGTGAGTATATAGGTTTTTCAACCCACAGTAATAATAAACTTATTAAGTTCACCAATCAACAATAACCCTGATTACCCGTTCCCGTTATCCTCACTTTACGTCCCTAAACACTTTTCACAAGGGACCTAGCCTAAAGAATATCATCAGGATGGACACTATTGCTAAGGGGTTTCCTCAGCCATACATGTCCTAAAGGCAACCATGAGGGGGATGGAGTATAACGAATGAACACTCTAGTTCATTAACACCTACAGGTTACGGACCTGCTAATGTTTCCCACTGGACTGTCTAGAAAGTCTGTGGTCGTCATCCAAACTCCGCTAGATGACTGAATCACAAATCACATCGAGGCCTCTCATTACTTTTATTTTATCACACATCAGTATCTACCCATGTTCTACCCAACATATTTGTAGATAAAAATACTTATACAGTTTAAAACTTGTATAAAACATCAACTCAACAGTCACCTCAAATAAACAATTAATATATTTGCACATAGCGCGTATTATAAAGTAAATACTTCATATCTATGTGTAAAATGAAAGTGACTATACACTCACTTGTTTTATTGAAAACCGGGCAGCAATTCGTTTCCTAAAACCGAGAGTTTTATTCAGAAACCGGGCTCTGCGAGGGTCGAGCTTCGAAACCGAAAAGATAAATTTTTCCGGCTTCACGGGCACTTCGTGGCGTATTCCGGGGCTTATAATCGATACCGGGGCTTTGGGGATGTTAAGATGAAGAAAATATGAAGAAAGGGGTGAAAGATGGTGAAATCCCAAAAGTACCCGAGAAGGCTCGCAGGACCCTTCTATTTATAGGGGTCCGAAGTCCTGATCCGACGGCTGAGAAGGAACCACGCGTCGCAGATCCGAAGCTCGCAGGGGGATGGCTCGCATAAGGTCTGCGCGTGCGAAGGCTTGTTGTCCTCTCCTGATTGGACCGAGGTCTACTGGTCCGAAGTAGAGGCATCGTGGCACTCATGCGAGGGTTCGGTCTCGTGCAAGAAGGTACGTGTCGCATCGCTAATGGACCACTTCGGATAAGGTCAGGTGCTCGGATGACTCAGCAGCTCGGACACGTGGCTCGCCTGACTCACCATTTCGGACACGTGGCACGTTCTAAGCGAGGGTGACGTGGCAAATCGTGACTATGCGAATTTTCTCGGTTTTTGTGCAAAAACTTCTAAAATTCATAACTTTCGCATACGAGCTCCGTTTTTGACGTTCTTTATATGCACGCGTAGGTAAAATTACACTCTACAACTTTCGTTTAGACTTCGTCGGCTAATTTTGACTTTAATTTTTTATATTATTATTTTTAACAGACCGGGACAGGAAATCCGTTAAAAATTCATAACTTCTTCATCCGACGTCCGTTTTCGTCAGACTTTTTACCGTTGTGCTACTAATAACGAGACCTTCGATTCTCGTTTAGGTCGTGTCGGCTAAAAATCACTCGATCTAAAATTCGAGTTTTTAGCTGTCTACTGCTAAACTAAAACTTCGAAAAATCATAACTTCCTCATACGAAGTCAGATTTGGGCGTTCTTTTTATACTTACTCTCGGTTTAACGAACACTACGAGTTTCGTTTAGATCACTAAGGCGAAAAAGTAGTTTATCGAAAACTCACTTTTTACGACATTCACCCCCGTGCCGGTTTGTCGCGAAACTCCGACAGGTCATAACTTCTTCGTTATAACTCGGATTTCGGCATTCTTTATATATCTGTAATCCTTGTCACGCCCACTACAAGTTTCTTAATAGATATCGACTTTATCTAAAATTTAATTTTTGACGCTCATTTTTATTCTTAATTAATTAAACCCTAATAATTAAGCATAAAACACATAATTCACATAATATTCACATAATTCCTTTTCATTTCTTCAAAATGAGTTACAAAGGTTAACGTAGACTATAATGTCAATATTAATGTCTAGCCTAGAAACACGGGCATTACACCGCTTCCTTAAACTCCCCTTATAATATGGCTTCATGAATGAGGCGTACTGGCGATTTGACTGACTATTCTTATACATATAAATTGCACTTTTAATTATATATACATATAGTATAATGTGTATTTTAAACATTTTAAAATAGCAAGGGTTTAATCTTTTAATAAATTAAACCTTTAGTTTAATTAAATTCAAACCCTTTTATGGATTTATTGATTATCCTTTAATTAATCACTTAATTAAAATAATAATAAGGTCCATAAGGATGTATTTTAAACTTTTCAAAATACTAAGGTTTATATTTTAAATTTCAAAAATTAAGAAATTAATTTTAATTTAAAAAATAAACCAAACATGAATTCAAGATAAGGATATCCAATTACTTAGATAATTATTAAGTTTTACTTATTTAATACATTATTTTAAGTTAATTATCCTAGTCAATTCATGAGATATCTTTAAAACCGAATTTTGTGGATCTGATTGTCCAACACGTCGTGGTAAACAATCACCACGCCGTGCTTGGACGATTTCGCAGGTCAACACGTCGTGGTGGCGGAACAGAATGACGATTCTGTTTGTTTCTCCTTGTTCAAGTTCAACAATTGTATCAATTCAATAGAAAACTAAACCTACGCTCTGATACCACTGATGGTTTTAAAGCAAAACATATAAATTCTATGTGTATGCAACCCTAAATGATTGATCTATATTTTCTCTAATTGAAGATACAACTTTGAACAATAAAATAGAAACCCTAGAACACTAGCATCTTTTCAGAAAAATACAAATAGGGTTATAAGAATCATACCTTGATTGTTATATATTAATAACAATGCAAATCCTTGTGTTGTTGAAGCCTTTAGAGCAAGGGTCACAAATGTCATGCATGTAATGGTTCACACCCAACACTAGCAAAGAAAGACAATTGAGATAGAGGAGGGATGATCAAATTTTCGGCTAGATATTCAAAGGATTGAGTTGGCCGAAAATCATAGGGTTATGCCCTATTTATAGTTCAGTCAGAAAACCCCAGATAAGCCCAAATCCAAGATCAACTTAAACCGGGTAATTATCCACTTTCCTATTTATCCACCTAGGACAATTCTAGAAGCCCTTGGGCTTCAACAAACCGTCCAACCCATCACTACAAGAAATTGGGGTCTTTATCTACACATAAATTACCTACACATGTTATGTGTACATATGTACCAACACATATTTTGTATATGTGTAGGTAATTGAATATAATAATTTTTCATAACAAATAACATTTAATATGTGTAGTTAATACCTTATAGTAACATTTTATGTAGGATGAAATTTTTTCCTCGAGATTTGTGATTTACATGATCTGAAATTATCCACACATGTTAAAAAAAAATATATATGTGTAGGTAATATACCTACACATATATATACATTAAATGAATGTGTGAGTGATTCATTTGATTTTAAGAACATATAATTTTATTTCATACATGTGTTGGTATATAAATTAAATAATAATAATAAATGATGTTGTATAAATGACATGGAAATTAAATAATAAATAATAATTGATGTTGTATAAATGACATGGCAAAATAGATACCTACACATATTTAAAAAAAAATTATGTGTAGTTAATATTTCTATATATATGTGTAAGTAATATTTTTTTAATAACACATATTTTTGAAGGAAAATTTCCGACCAAAATCTCTGACTCATATAATGTTAAACTAGATGAGGAGCCCCGCTTTGCGGGGATGGATTTGGACAGCTCCGATATGGATATTCTTGCATGGACAATTTGATTGCAGAATGTGATGGCTTGACTATGAATTTTGTACAAAATATTAATTTTGTAGCAGAGTTAACTATAGAATGCGGTTTTTTTGGAAACAGAAAAAAGGTTTGTGTGATTATTTAAATGTTTACACTGCTGTTCTCAATTATATTTTTTGTGTAATTATCTCAATGTTTACACTGCTGTTGTCGATTCATTAATTGTGTTAACAGGATTACATGTTTACATATTAAGTCTTTTATATAACAAATGATCATTCATTAAATGGGATAACAAAGTAAGTAAAAAAGTGCCCATAATACCAGAGACCATTTGTTTAGCTTGAGCAGACTTAAAGTTTAGCATCCAATGCTACCTTTATTTTATCGTGTGAGACTTAAGTTCGCTCGGAAAGTTGTTGTTCCTGCAAAATATAAAAATGAAAACATAACGGTATATAAGTATAATTGCAATTCATTTAATAATGTATAATTAAGATTACAAAATATACTTTTGTTTGGCTTTGTTATAGCTCTTCAACAAAAGGGTATATAAGTCCAAAAGTTGGATTTTACCCCTTTAGTGTAGTAAGCTACAAAAATCATAGTCTGTTGAACATCTGTGGAGAGGTGTTGGGTAAACATCCAGTACTCAACCGCTCATTGTGAAGCAACAGTCCTCCTGGAAAAATAAAAACAAATTCTTACTGGATTTATTATAAAACCAAATCAAATATGTATGTATGTATGAATCATTTTCATACCTCTTCCATATTTATTTGGAAAGGCTTCACAAAATCTTCACACGTCTGTGCGGGAATTCTTCTTACTTTCTCTTTAACTTCCTCAAATCAAATCATTCAATTTTGTTATAACCAACACAGACCTGTAACTTTTACTGATTTCTCCACCACATCTGATACAAACACCAACGGCATTTTCGTCATTTTACACATTAGAGGTTGTGTTAATGCTTTTAATAACTTGTTTTATGCATACCTATTTACCTTAAACCACCCGTGGTTCTTCCGTTGTCCATTCCTTTTGTTTATCCAAGTGCAAGTAAAGATTAAGAAGATTTAACACAAACACAGTCGAATATAAGAAGTAAAGAACATATGAATTGAAAATTAGAGATAAAATGGTCTCTTGTAGATTCTTATTTCGTACCTCATATCACAGATTAAACCAATAATAAGCAAAAGCTTAAAATTAAAGAAAGAGTGAGAAAACATTTTGTGCACCGTCTGAGGTTGTTCATCATCGCATGTAGGCTTGACAGATGTTTTTAGTTTCCTGTGAATCCAATAAAAATCAACATTAAATTTAAAATAGTCGACAATTACTCTATAGATAAAAAAAATGGAGATTAGTTACGTACAGGGCAATTGAAGGCAAATTATTCGTTCTCTCTATTTGCTGATGTTGAATCAAGATGTAGGCGGCTGCGGCAATGGTGGTGGCGGTTCTAAAGTGGCGACGAAGGTTGGAGTTAACGGCACGAACAGGATTTCGTTTTCCCCCGATTGACGTTACAAAAGTGATTTGGAAGAAATTTAGTTACACTAACATCAAGAACCATCATATCGGGCGATAAGGGAGAAACATCATCAGCTGCAGCAACGATGGGATTCGCCTTGACCTTGCGACCATTAGCAGGTTACTTTAATCCCATATGTAAAAAAAAAAAAAAAAAAAAAAAAAAAAAAAAAACGGTTTATTGCAGCATTAACAGCATTAAAAGTGGAAGTTAAATCAAAGAGAAACTGATCATTACAAAAAAAAAATGGAAGGTAAATGGTTGAATCACTACTATGTACATGTAATTCAACGACAAATGTGTAATATCAAAAATTGCCAATTCAGAAAAAACAAATAGGGAAAATAAATTCAGTCGAAAATACCAATATTGATATCAAAATCATCAAAATGTTGAATATAAATCATGCATACCTGTTATGTATACCGACTGAGCTCTTTATATAAGATCGAGTTGTGTATATAAGATCATGATCATGCTTTTCAAGATAGTCTGCTGCAACCTTATCAGCCCCAAAAGCATAGGCATCTAAAATACAGAATGTAGATAAAGCTAATATTACATCAGTATGTTTACCAAAAAGGTCAGATCATTCTTTGTAGAAAAGAGCAAGATAGTGAAAACCCCAAATTAGAATTGAAAAAACAAATACCTAAATGTCTTTGCTTTCTTTTTTGTTGTTCATGAGAATCAACACTTGATGTGGAACCAAACCTAAAGACTTTAGCCTACTTTTTCTCATCTTACTATGCGGGTGTTGCTTGTATGTTCCCAGATCTGAAAAGGCTTTCATCGATAACCATTCCAGCCTACAAAAGCCACCAAAAACAATTGGAATCTGTGAAAGAATTTAAAGTATAAAAACAATATCAACGTCATAAATGTAACAAAATCATACCTTCAAGCTGCTGTGAACCTCCAGTGATATAGAATCCAACCCTAACCTACAGTATAAACATGTGTGAACTATAACAAAAATAAATTGAACGACATAACAATTTGACAATTTTATTAATGTTTGGTCGTTACCTCAAAGTTGTTTAGTTGTAAGAAATCATCACTAACCTGACCGGATACTGCCACTATTACCTCCATCAGCCACCCCCGTCGGCAGCTGCGGTTTCGCTGCCATAGACCTCGAAACAGCACCTCTTGATACTCCAGAACCACATCAAGCTTCATACTCCATGGATGTAATCAGAGATGAAGGAAGGAGAAACCAGATGGCCTTCTTCAAAGTTTACTACTCCGGTGGCGAAATTGAAGACCATCAACCCATATTTCTAAAGTAACACGTTTGTAGAAAACAAAAGAAAAATCAAAGAATACATACCTCTGCTATACGAATCGAGCACAGGTTCACCTTAACAGGCTCCTATCTATGCCACTGACTGAGAAATCGTGACTCAAATTTTGGAGGCAATCATCGATTGATCATAACATCGGCCGACCCATTGGAGCCCTAGCATCGTAGGAGACTTCGAACCCTAAATCAACAATATAACTCAATTCGAACCATAAACCTGAGAACATAGTAATTGAATGAAGAAACACATTAAGGAATGGGGTCGATAGGTCTAGAGCAAAATAGGAAGTATAAAATTGAAGGTATGGATGAGGCGGTGGACGAATCAGAAGAAGCTTGAAGAGAGAAACTTGACATGGTGGTGACCGACGGCTTATAGGGTGACGATGGTCTCAGCGGTACGGTTTGCCGCCGCTCTCACCAGCTCCCCTCCAACACCGTTACAACATTGAGCCCAAATGTGATGGAGGCGGTGATAGGAAAAACGAATAGATGAGATAAGACGGTGGAGAAAGCGGTCTTATGTTGTAGAATCAGCTGGGTCGGCGATTGAATATGATTGGAGAAGAAGAGCGGTGAGATAAAGGATAGACGGTGGAGGGTCAAACTAACCGGGAGGGTAACCCGATCAACAGTAACCCTGGTCAGGTACTGTTCCTGACGATTGTCCAAGTTTAATATGTATATATAATTACTCACACATGTTGGAATATTTTCTTAATGTGTAGATAAATGCCTTCACATATATGAAAAATAAATTTATGTGTTAGTAATTCATTAAGTTTTACCAATATATAATATTAATTTATAAATGTGTATATAATATTTAACAATTAAACGTATGTGTAGGTGTTTGTTTAATTTGCCAACACAAGATATTATATGTAGTTAAAAAGGACAAACATTTTTTTCATTTAAAATGATGTGGCAATTCAATACCCACAGGCCACATATATCTACACGCATGATATATATATGTGTACATAATATATAATTATACAATATTTATTAATAAAAGGCATACATAAAATCATTTGAAATTAATGTTGTAAATAAAATAAAATGACATGGCGATTGGAAATCTAAAACAAACTAAAGCGAAAATCGGGAAGTGTCCAAAATACCGTTTAAGTTAAGTACAGTTTTTATGATATTTGAAATTTGCAAAAACTTTGAACAATTACCCTAAAAATTTTAAACCGTTCCCACCATAAATAAATTTTATTTTAAAAGACTCCGCCAAAATTTTCACTAAAATATTTTTACTATTAATTATAAGCATCTAGAAAAACACAAAATACACGACTCTCTTCACCCCCACTCACTGATTGAAACCCTAGCGCCATGCTCATCGCCGCTCATTGTGGTTAGCCGCCACATATCTCTGTCACTACATAATTCGAATGTTGTACTATTTATTCATCACTGGTGCTCGTGATCATATGTATTGATAGATATTCTTTTCTTCTGCTTCTATTGGTATGTTCTTCTGTGTATTTGTTTTTTGTTTTTTGTTTTTTATTTTTGCTTCTTCAATTGTCGTTACTGCATATCGTTGATTTACGCCTTGTTCCCGAGTTCCACTTAAGGATATACTTAATATAAACATAAACCTAATTTAGCTATGATGAATTTTTTATTTGGATGCAAGAACAATGTTGTTTTCATATTTGGGTTACGTCAAGACTTTTTGAGGATTGTGATTCTGCAATACATATTGTTCCATGCTTCCTTATATTTACCATATTGGTTAGTTGTAATATTCATTTATGTTAGTCTCATATCTTGTTTTTTTAGTTCGTTTACCCTTTAACTACAATCGTGAGAAAACACAAGTTTTGCTTTGGAATTAAGTTTGATGCTTAATATATATCTTTGAATTTTTTGGAAAATTTATATTGTTGGTGGATCAAACAAAGCCCTTTAATGCTCAAGTGAACTTTTTTTTTTCTCTTGGAATACCTAATGTAATTAGTATTTCTGGATTTTGTGTTCTCTCTTTCTACAGGGCCATTTTGATGTCATCAAAACACGTATGGATTTTGCTACAAAAAATTTGGTTGGGTACCCTTCTATGCTCACCTCTAGGCTATGGTAATTTCATTAGTTTTTGAAATTGACCTTTACTAACATTATATTGTTTTTTAATGTTATTTCTTAGTCACCTATCATTTTTTGTTTCGTTTATTCATGGTGTAACAATTTTTGCACCTATTTACTAATGTACGGAATAAAATCCAATCCCTTTAGTCTCAAGCAATCAACCAAGTTCAATATCTCAAATCTTAGGTAAGACCGTAAGAGTAACAAGTTTTTTTTTTGGTATACTAATTTATTGATCAATACTATTTCTTTCAGCTCTGTTAATTGACCCGATTAGTAAAATGTTTAAACTTGTTGATATATTTTTAATGTGTGGAGAGCTACTATCTAACTTGTATAACTACTTTAAATGACAGATTGGAGGACTAGAAGACCAAACATAAGAAATACTACATCACCTCCAAATATTGATGGGAGTGAGCATATGGTTTGAGCATTCAAGATTGTTTAGTACTTTTTTTTGTACTCATAGCTACTTATAACTACTTTTTCTTCGAATAGTTTAAGTATTTTAATTTTATGACTTGTATTTTTTGTTTGTGGATTAAACTATTATGTAATAACATTTTTTATAAGAATCGTATTTTTCTCACACATGTTTCTATTTACACTCATATATTTTCTATTTGATTGTACATATTTGAATATATATATATATATATATATATATATATATATATATATATTGTTGTTGTTAATTCCCACACATTAGTATATATTAACCAACACATTACCTACACGTCTACCAAATTACCTATACATAAAAGTACGTTTATCCACACATATTTTATAACATATGTCACCGACACTTTATAAAGACATGCCACATAACTCGACATGTCATCTATGTAATCCATGTCATTGTCCACATTAGTAGCCACGTCATCAACCACGTCATCGGCTATTGAAAAATTTTATAGCACTTTTTATCCACACATAGTTTGTAGTTTTAGCCACACATGTATGTGTAGATATTGTTTACCATATACCCACACATAAGTGATATGTAGGTAATGATCTATATCTACAGGCATGAGCCAACACATAGTGACACTTAAATTATTTATTGGTAATGACAACTACCAACACATAAAAATCTTCTACCCACACATAACATGTGTAGGTAAACACCTAAAGTATTCCCGACAGACCACTTAGGAATAGCAGGCGTACAACGAGTCCAGTTCAAGCGCAGAGGCTAGGAATGAATACGGTTAACCTATCACTACGAAGTGTATATACGACTTATATACACAAGGCAATGATAGACGGACCAGGTATGAATTTAGCCATGAACCTCAAGACAAAGCTGCCCTATACTACGAGTGAACATGCTAACATTTAGATAAATGTAGAAAAATAAACCCAAATCCACACGACCTATACCGATCAAAACAACAGACGGGATAATGAAGATCCGCTGGAACACCCACGCTAGAATCTGGATTCACTAGAGAACAAGATGAATCAAATGGAACAGCAGTACACTCACCTTTCCTCAACCATCGACGACCCATTCAAAATACGAATTTCGGGACGAAATTCCCTCTAACGGGGGGATGATGTAACAACCCAATATTTCGACTCAATATAATTACCTAAAAGTTAAGTATTTTAACCTATTTTTGGAGATAATAATAATAGCGTCAAAAATGTAATGTTCAAAAATGTCAATTTGGATGAACTAAACTGTAGATATCGTAACAAGGTTTTCAAAAATATAAAGAACACTAAAATCCGAGTTATAACAAAGAAGTTATGACCAATCAAAGATCCGCGACAAATCCGGTAAAACACTGTTAAACATAAAACGCGAGATTTCAATAAAATACTTTTTAACCTTAGGTATCCAAATGAAAGTCGTAGATATCATTAAACCGTAAACATACATAAAAAGAATGTCCAAATCTGACTTTGTATGAAGAAGTTATGATTTTTCTAAGTTTCTGATATAGTAGTGGACAGCTAAAAACTCGAAATAGAGATCGAGCGAGTTTTAGCCGGTGCAACCTAAACGAGAATTGAAGATCTCGACAATGTAGTACAACAGTAAAAAGACAGACGAAAACGGACGTCGGATGAAGAAGTTATGAATTTTTAACGGACTTTTCCTGTCCCGGTCTGTTAAAAATAAATTATTAAAAATAAATTCAAAATTAGCCGACATAGTCTAAACGAAAGTTGTAGAGCATAATCTCACCTACACGTGGATATAAAGAACGTCAAAATCGGAACTCGTATGTGAGAGATATGAATTTCTGAAGTTTGGGACACGAAACCCCACACTATCAGGGAACTCACGACGTGAGCTTGTGACTGATGGGTGCCAGAGACGGGCTATCGGACGTCGAGTATATGGAAGGGATAAGATCAAAACTCACGACGTGAACCACCCCAAGTTCACAACGTGAACTCCAAAAATGCCCCCTATAAATAGAAACCGAAGGTCTCAGGTTTAGGCTGCTCAATTCTACTCTCCTTTCTACTTTTACTCTGTGTTAAGCATCCCGAGACTACCCCGACGCCCCGGTTACATGTCCAAGCCCTGACGGAAGCCTAAAGTCCCGAAGTTCCCGAGAAACTTGCTTATTTCCAGTCGAAGTGTTGCCCGAGTTAAACATCGTCTACATCAAACCTTCACTCTTACCAAGTGAGTTCATACCCCTAACACTACACTTTTAAATTCTTTTTAAATGCTTTTAAGCACTTTAAGGGGGGGGGGGGGGAGGGATACAAGTAAACACACGGCTAAAATTGTGTGAAAACATCAATCTTTTGCTATAATCTTGTTTATGTTGTTATAACTATCATATGAAACCGTTAGCATGCAAATACATCTCACAACACTATTTTACCCTCGTGGGATAACATTAAGTATATATAAGAAAATACAAACCATTGTTATGCCTTTATCCACATAGTAAAAAGGGTAATCATTTCGGATATAAACACATTCATTTCAAAAATACGTGACTTAGTTGAGAATATGTGAGTCATTCGTCTTCCTCATACCTATCAAGGTACCACTAGAAAGCCCTGTTTTATAACCAGAGTCTCCGTCCGGAGAACGTGATAAGTGTGTATAGATCTATACGGGACTGATGATCCCGCACCCTGGCTGTTAGCTACAGCCGGACCGGCAGGTTAAGGGTGACAAGTGTCATAACATTTCGACGCTTGAAGAACATCGCTGCAGGCAAATTCATCTTAGTACGGTTATGAAAACTCACAGGATAGACAGCTATTATGGTATTATGTTTTACGGGAAAAGTAATATTACAGTTATTTTTACGTAAAAATACAAGCTTCCTATAGTTTTGTTCACTAATAAAACTATACATTTTCAGTTTAAGTATGACATATTTACTTACAAATTATAGCCTTGGAGATTTAAGACTACTTCTCACTTTTAGGAAAATATAGGATTTTACTAGTTCAAGTACATCCATTTTAAACAAACAACGATGCATAACTCATTTCATAAGAAAATATCGGATTTTATGAAAACAAACGCGAACTTTCGAATGGCATACATTTTATTCA